TGTATATGTTACATATACGGGCCATGTGTTACATATACGGGCTGTATTTTACATATACGGGCTGTATTTCACAAATACGGGCCATACGTTACATATACGGGCCATGTGTTACATATACGGACTGTATGTTACATATACGGGCTGTATGTTACATATACGGGCTGTATGTTACATATACGGGCTGTATTTTACATATACGGGCTGTATGTTACAAATACGGCCTGTATGTTACATATACGGGCTGTATGTTACATATACGGGCCATGTGTTATATATACGGGCCATATGTTACATATACGGGCTGTATTATACATATACGGGCTGCATTTTACATATACAAACCATATGTTACATATACGGGCCAAATGTTATACATATACGGGCCATATGTTACATATACGGGCTGTATTTTACATATACGGGCTGTATGTTACATATACGGGCTGTATGTTACATATACGGGCTGTATTTATTTACATATACAGAACATATGTTACATATACGGGCTGTATTTTACGTATACGGGCCATGTGTTACATATACGGGCCATATGTTACATATACGGGCTGTATGTTACATATACGGGCTGTATGTTACATATACGGGCTGTATGTTACATATACGGGCTGTATGTTACAAATACGGCCTGTATGTTACATATACGGGCTGTATGTTACATATACGGGCTGTATGTTACAAATACGGCCTGTATGTTACATATACGGGCTGTATTTTACATATACGGGCTGTATTTTACATATACGGGCTGTATTTTACATATACGGGCTGTATGTTACATATACGGGCTGTATTTTACATATACGGGCTGTATATTTTACATATACGGGCTGTATGTTACATATCGTATATGTAACATGCCCGTATATGTAACGTAACGTTACCACATCATATGTTAATAATGGCCAATAACGTCGGAACTGTCCGGAAATTATCGACCAGCGCCGTAAAGGCCGTGACGCGACGCGTGTTTTCAAAGACTTCTGGGATACTTGGCCTTTCACCTCGTGCTCGGCGGCAAAGGAGCTGTGTATTTTTAAAACAGGGAAAAAATAATTCAGAAATGTCGGATGATTTACTTGAAAAAATCGTCGAAATTGATTCGGAAGTCGCAGAGAATTTAAAGGGTAAGGATAACTTCTTGTTTTATGGTAGAAATGTTTGTAATAACCATTAAATTGCGGCATACGGTTGCGTTGTTTCATGTCAATGTTTGGCACGGTAAAATTTGAATAATATTCCGCATTTTTATGCATATTTTAACCACTTATTCTATATAAATGTAGTCCCAGATGGGCTGATTTATATTTCGTACTAGTATGACGTTTTCGTTCGTTATTTCATATCATTCTGCATGTATTTGTGTTAAAATTATTGAAAATTTTTACGGCTAAAATTTTGGTTCATGATTATTAGCTATGCTTAATTCATAGGGGTACGGAGCAGTGCTTCCACTTTCAAAAACCAAAAAATCGTTATTTTTTCCTTATTTTGACCGAAATTTCCTTCAAAAAATTGTAAAATTTCCTTCAAGTAATTTAACTGAAGGGGGGCCAAATTAGGTAAATATTCTCCAAATAGTCTTTTCTCAACACAACAATCATGTGGATGTTCAATTTTATCATGGCTCAAAAGTCTAAACACAATTCGACTTCATTTGCATACAGATTATAAACAGAATGACGTCATTCAGGGATACAAAATTGAAGAATTAGCTACACTGACTATTATGATGTTTGGAATTACAATATTTTTCTGCCCATGCACCAGATAGAGTAGTTATTTTTGTACGAATAATGTAATAGGAATAGGAATGGATACAATGGACATTTACGTTTTCTACAGTAGATGTTGACTTGTTGGATTATCGTGCACGGTGCACATGGCCAGGCCCCGCCCATGGCTAGGCAATAAGCACAGCTTTCAACTTCATTTATATCACTATCACACTGGCCCACACTTGCTTTCGGAATACAAAAAATTGTTGCGCTATCCATGTTTTATTTAGGCTCGGTCCAGCGGGTAAGGTGCTTTACTTTCATATCTTAGTAATTAATATTTTAACACGACAAAAAATGTCTTTGTCTTCGCTTGTGGTTATATCAGAGCGTGGAAAATATCAACAAAGTTTTAATTATTCTGATTTATATGTATGTAATTATGTTTATGATATTGATATTACATGAAGTATTGGCTTTCAAATTATCTGGGCCAGGTCATATTCATTAGATAACTTAATATAAACTCTAGAGTTTCTACATTCGGCTAAAATGTGATCGGATTGAGTTTATTTTGCGCTTTATTTTCCAAATATCACCAATTTTGTAGATATTTTGCATTTTCCTTCAACTTTCCTTTGTTCATCTAGAATTTCCTTCAAATTTCCCTCAAAATTTATTTCCTTCATTTTGCAAAAATTTCGGGGGGGGGGGGCATGACAGCATAACAGAAAGAGGTTTAGAAATTTGTGAAAAAGTGGTGATATCAATACTGTAATTGGACCTTTAACTCTAGTCTTTACTGATTTTCTGTGACTGCACAATTATTTAATATTGTCAATACCATTTATAAGCATGGGGCATGGGATAGTCACACTTTATTAATTTGTGTTTCAGCGGATGTGAAAGATCTTTGTTATGATGCTATTGGAAGTTAAGTACTGCATGAAGCTTTTCCTTTTTTATTTCAGGAAAATGAGAAACCAACAGCTAGCCCTAAATCAACAACAAAAAGAATGGATGGAAAAAGAAAGTTTGACATGATAGATGACAACAATGATGCTGACTTGTCAGAAGATGATATTACCATAATCAAACAAACGTCGACAAAGCTTATTCCTTCAACCTCAGCAGCAATATTGCATGTAAAATCACCAGTTTATACCATCTATCGTGATAGACGTGTTGACTTAGCTACGGGCTGTATGTTACATATACGGGCTGTAATATTACACTGTTTAAGGGAAAACGAGTTACATAGTTGACTGTGCCTAAATTGGTTAAAATCGCCTGCAATGATGATAGCTGACGCAGGATAGGATGTTAATGCACTGTCGAGGGACTCAATAAGGTGTGTTAACAGGGCCCTATCGTCGCTTTTCGGT